CACATCACTGCCGATGCTGCACCGATCCACCTGTCAATCTCACGCTTCATCCTCCCCTCACTCATGAACAAAACTCCAAGATAATTAAACTCCCCCACTTGAGGCAGGGACTCTCCACCCACCTGGAGATGGCAAGCCACCTTTTTCCAGTCAAGAAACATGGCCTCAGATTTGTACACACCATACACAGCAAAAAAGGTTGATTTAGTGTTTGGTTCCACTTTAAAGGTTTTATATAAGTCTTGGGAGCTTTAAGCCATGTTATGATGTTGTTACATCCTCAAAAACATATCATATTCCACCTTGTGATGTCTTGAAGAGGTAGTTCATAAGTTAACAGCTACATTTTAACCTTTAGTCCAGTAAAGATCAGCAACTCCAAGGCTGAAATTATCCAAACTCTAGAAGAAGAGAGAAGAACTCAGCTTAAATATGCAGGGTTTGTGTGTTAAAAATGTGTGAATGAAACAAAACACAACTCCAGGCATATTTTGGATGAGGAAAAACTAATATAACAGATCAGAAAGTAGCCTAATATGGGGCCTTTAACATCTCCATGGAGACGAGCAGGTGGCGAATGTCCCAGAAAAGTTACATGGTGCATTTTTTAGGTTTAGTGCATAAAAATAAAGATGCTACTGCAAATATATAACTCCTAAAATCTCTATATTTTTCCAGACTGAAGTTATGATAGTTAATACATCGAATACAAAACTTTGAAAACTTTCCACCCTCATCTTTCCTCTTCACTCTGTGGTCTGAGGGCTGTGCAGGTGAGGAGATATTTGGGAATACCTCATACTTTTGCAGTCCTGCTCACCATATGGCAGCCATTCTAAAATCCAATCATAAAAACACGAAAAATATCCTTCGTCTGACACTAACAAGCTTATAAAATCCTCCGGTATCCATCTCTTTCGGACAAATTTCCACAAAAAGCCACTCTTTCCTACATTTGCCCAGGCGTAGAAAAACAATAAAATAGTCAAGGCTACAGGTTAGAGTGTCCCAGCGTGCAGCTAAAGTGGAGTGTGGAGAATGTAAGTTTGAAGTTGCAGTTGTAAAAGTGTCTTAGTACAAAATGAGCAGAATTTGATATGAGAAAGAAACAGGACTAGAGGGAATAAAACAATACAGGCAGGAATGTGGGTTTGAGAAAGTGATATGCAGGGTTGGGTGCTTAAAAATAATATAACGCAAGCTAAAGTAAAATTATTAGGCTATTACTGTAGTTAACAAATACCTCTATAGTTACATTTTTATCCTTAATTGCTTTTACTTGCTATTTGATCGTCTTGGCGTCTTTGTTGGTATGTTGGTATTATTACTGTTTAAATATTCCAAGGTCCTGTACCCAATTTGTTTCCCATGTATTTGAGCAAAGTTCTTCTTGCTCCAGTACAGATATTTGTATAAGTACCTCTTGAGGTCAAATCAGTCCTAATAAAAACGTTGTCTTGTCCAAGAATCAGTAAGTGGCCACAGTGCGCATTCTGTTTTTTACTTTTTAGACTTTTTAGGTACAGCAGCTTTAAATTGCAATGAATTTGAATTACTTCCTCAAATATATATAGAGAAAAATACATGTTTGCAAGCTCAAAAGTCTGTTTAGCTTTGACCTTTAATCTGCTGTAAAAGGGACATTCACCAATATCAGTTCTAGATGTTATTAATACTTACACAGGGAGATCCATCCATTTATCCATTTTCTTCTACTTTATCCAGTCGTGGAGGCAGCAGTCTAAGCATGGACTCCCAGACTTCCCTTTCCACGCACACTTCCTCCTGCTCTTGCAGGGGGACCCCAAAGTGTTCCCAGGTCAGCCGAGAGACATAGTCTCTCTAGCGTGTCCTGGGTCTTCTCAGGAGGCATCCGGAACAGGTGCCCAAGCCACCTCAACTGGCTCCTCCTATGTGACGGAGCTTCTCACCCTATCTCTAAGGGAGTGCCCAGCCACCCTGCAGAGGAAACTCATTTTGACCGCTTGTATCCGCGATCTTGTCCTTTCGGTCATTACCCAGAGCACATGACCATAGGTGAGGGTAGAAACATAGATTGAGGGTAAATCGAGAGCTTTGCCTTTCGGCTCAGCTCCCTCTTCACCACAACGGTTCAATACAGCGACCTCATCACTGCCGATGCTGCAATAATCCGCCTGTCAATCTCACGCTCCATCCTCCCCTCACTCGAGAACAAGACCCTGAGATACTTGAACTCCTCCACTTGAGGCAGAGACTCTCCACACAGGGAGCTCTATACACTGAATGCACTTGCTGTCACAACCAACTACAGGCAGTGTGTTAAAGTGTCTTGTCCGGAGATACAAAACAAAAACTTACTAACTGCATGATTGCTAACTAGTACTATTTTGAATATGAATACTATTACCAGTGCGATTCTTGGATTCATTGTCTTTCTTATTTGGACACTCAAAGTTCTGTTCTAGTGGAAGTTCGTCATTTTTTATTTATTTTTTTTGCCATGGAGATGTTTTTGCTTTGTCTTGCTTCTGGAATTTTTCACAGTAGGGCATTAAACCTTTCTATCTTCATGGAGACCAAACCATACCAAGTTACAGGTTAGATCTGTGGAGAGGCGACCCCGCTCACAGTCAGAACACCTGTTTGTTTTTTAGGTATTTTTGAGCTGTAAAACCACCTGTTATTGAATAAATGTAAAGTGGAGCTGTTTAAAGTTATACTGTGGAATATGTCTTCAGAGCAATGACATTTCCAAGTGACGGACCTCTAACCATAAAGTGACATATTGCACCTTTAAGTAGATTTTTTTCATGTGCTACTTTTACTTTTATTTTAATAATCTTTTGCCCTTGTATCTGTACTTCATCCACCACGGTCGTTTTTTTTTTAACTTTACTTTGGGGATGTAACTATAGCTTTTACATTACTCAGGCCTGGTGTATGTGGGGCCGATCTCGTATCCACGGCAACACACGACAACAGCTCACATATTTGTACGATGGGATAAAACTCGCTGTTATGGTCAATGACAGGGGGAAGGAATGCAGATGTGAATGTGTCAGATTTGTAAACGTTATGCGATGAATACAATTTTTATTTGAATTAACGTAACTGTCAATGTTTGGTCCCAGGCAAGCCCATTCATCATTATAAGAGCCTATTGAGTCATATTATCGCCAGATGTTTGGGGACCGGGAGACCTGCTGTTCTCAGTGACCTACATGTACTATTGAAATAACACAATACAGTTGGAAGCAGATATGCAAAAGATTACTGTAAATATATGCAGTAGATGATGTAGTACTCAATTTTGTTACTTAAAGATGCATTGTGTAACTTTGCAGGTGGAGGGTCTGTCAAATGCTTTTCTTCACGGAGATGTTATTGCTTTGTCTGGAATTATTCACAGTATGGTATAAAATCTTTCTATCTTCATGGAGACCAAACCAGACCAAGTTACAGGTCAGATCTGTGGAGAGGCGACCCCGCTCACAGTCAGAATGCCTGTTTTTTTTGGGTATTTTTGAGCTATAAAACCACCTGTAATTGAATGTATTTAATGTAGAGCTGTTTAATTTCATACTGTGGAGCATTCCAAGCAGAGCAGTGACGTCTCCATAGAAAGAAGCAGGTGACGAACCCCCCAACCAAAAAGTTACACAGTGCACCTTCAAGTAAAATACAGATACAAGGGCAAAACATTAATCAAGTAAAAGTACAACATGAAAAACTTTAGTGAAAGTATTAAAACTCTGAGACGTCATCGGCCTGGAGGACACAGACAGGACAGGTGAGACAGGCACATGCTCCTCTGTTCCCTCCTCGTCTCTCCTCTTCCTCCTCCTCTCCTCGTTTCACCTGCTCCTCCGCTCCTAAAGTACCTGTTTAAAAATGTACTTAAAGAGTAAAACCTAAAAATATTTGTGCAGAGAGTTTTAGAACAATTAAAGGATGAAATGTAATGATTTTGGTCATGTGTTTAGCAGATTTGAAGTGATTCACAACTGATTTGTTAAGCTAAGCATTAATGTCACCATGGAAACAAAGAGGTTACACAGTGCACCTTTAAATATTGTGCACCAATGTAAAAAAAAAAAAAAAAAACAACAATATAATATGATTTTTGAGGTCTTTTGGCTCCTACATAGGTCTTTATTTTACCATTTAGGTCTAATATTCACCCAGTGTTGTGCTGTTTTTACTTGGATATGATTTTTCATTGTATCTGGGACCAAGTTATTTAAAAACACGCTCAGTATTGGCTTATTTTTTCTCTCAAATGTCTACTTTCAAAATAAATATAATAAAACTTAAAAATATATTTTCATTTTCGAGTATACATTTAATAACCTAGCTGTGTATAAGTGAATACTCTCTGCACCAGACCATATCTCTGTGTTGCAGTGGGCTGTTGATTACAGACACAAACCAAAGCGTCTGCTCATGGTCTGTGTCTGGTCACTTTAAACCTCTCTCTCACCGCTCATTACATGGAAAATTAACCAAAATTACAGCTCACAGTCAAAGTGTGTTTACATATATAACACAAGACGTGACTGAAAACGCCTTCACTTTTGGTTCATAGTCATATTCAGCACAATAACTGAAGTGAATTGAAGTCAAAATTCTGTTATAAAACTTAAAAGTTCAACTATATATAGGTTTTCTGGTGAAGGCTCTAGGACTTGCTTGTCTTCCTTTGATTGAATTGCTCCAGAGTATAGCATTATTTATCAAACTTACTTTACCTATGGTTTTATTGCTGAACATTTACTTTGGAAAAAATACATTCTTTCTAAGACATGGGTCACCTCTCCACAGAGCTGACCCGTTACTTGCCTTGTTGTTGTCACATGCTCGTCACAATAGAGTTTAAAGTGTATTTTGTTTTGTTTGATTTTCTAATTGGTTGGTTACTAGTGTAAAGTAGTTCAGCTGGTCATGGGCACTCAAGGCAAAGCAATAAGACAAACTGGTGATGCACCTTTAACTATTTCTTGTTTCTGTTGTGCCCACAGTTGTGTTAGTGGCTGCGTCCGGGAGTAAACTTTGGGAAGTTCCTCTTTCATCTCCGAATGTGAGTCACAGTCTTCAATGGGAGCCTCACTGTCAGCATCATCAAGACAAGGCAAAGATCACAGCAAACGTACCTCCAAGTCTGGACGGGACCTGGGTGTCTACAAGGTAAATATGAATTATATATTAGTCAAATTATTAACAATTCAAGATCAGGATATATTTTCAAAAACATTTTTCCACCACACATGGGGAGTGTAAGGGGAATGCCAGATGTTGAGTGATTAAAATAATAAAAAAAAGAAAAAAAACAAACAATTGTCTTCATTATTTGTCTCTAAAACCAAAATGAAAAAATGGATAACCATTTGTTTTTTCAGTTTTTAATTTTGTGTTTAAATAAATAATGGAAAAAACGGATAACAGCCATTTACCATTTCCATGACTTAACCTGCTGGACCAGACTAAAGACTGAACCAGGACTAAAACAGGACTAAATCAGGACTAAATCAGGACTGAACCAGGACTGAGTGTTGGGACGGGGGGTGCGCCCGTCTAGACTGTTGGGTGATCAGGGCTGAGACCTGGACCAGACCAGGACTGAGACCAGGACTGAGACTGCTTTAGTCTTGGTTTAGTGCTGGTTTATACCTGGTTCAGTTCTGATTTAGACCTGGTTTAGTCCTGATTTAGTCCTGGTTCAGTCTGGCATCGCAGTTTATGTAACAGAAACGTGAAAATTGAAAACTGAAAATACAAATCGTTATCCATTTTTTTCATTTTGGTTTTGGAAACAAATAATGAACAAAATAGTTGTTTTTTTTTTTGTTTTCTTATTTTTGGTTTTATTTTGAAAAAAAAAAAAAATGAACAAATGACACACGGATTGTTACGTATAGCTGCGTTTATAACACAGCATGGTGCAAAGAGCATTTCCCTGAACTAGAATAAATACAAATCAGGTACAGGACCTTTATAACAAGTAGAAGTATAATAAGATAAGTGGGCTAACGCATTTTAACAATGTAGATTCAGTCCAGACCTGAAGAAGCAGCTTGGATGAGCTGTGAAATGTATTCAACCAAAATAAACTTTTGTCCAGTTGACAAATTGAATTTCTCCTTTTGCCACAGTGTAGACTCTATTTGGAATTTCAGGTCAGTATTCTCCTAAAAATAATCTAATGATGAAACAGAAGTGAACCAGAAACCAGTAAACAAGTGTTGCACAAGGTGATCAATAATTGGCTCATGCTGTTTGACGCACAACCACAAAAAATCCAATGGTTTTTATCTAATCCATATATCAAAACCAACACTAAGCACCTCTCTAATTCCAGATGTGAAGTCAGACCCGGCCCAGAATTCCTCCTGCGTTCCTACACCTTCCACCCTACTCGTCACCTACAGGCCATCCAGCACTACTACACCGACAGTGCGTGTGGGGACCCTGCTTACTCCCTCCTCGTCCGGGGCAAGCTCCGTCTGCGCCAAGCCTCCTGGATCACCCTGGGGGCCACAGAGTCTGACCACCACGTCAACAGAGTGGGCATCGTGATCCACAGTAGCTCAGCCAAGCAAAGACTGGCCTCCCGCCTGCCCCCCTCCTGCGTGGGGGCGGCACTGAGCAAAGCGGTGCCAGGGAAGGTGCTGGAGCTGTACAATACCAGGGCGGGGAGGCTGTGCCTGTCCGCTATGGGGTTTTCGATGGCGGAGCTCGGGCTGGTGAGGGTGGAGACGCGTAATTTCGGACATGGAGGGAGGGTCCAGGAGCTGTTTCTGGGGGACATTCACACACAGTGGACACAGAGGACGTACCACCGGCCCACAGGGTACCAGACGCCCCTGCAGAATGTGATGGTAAGAAGTTTTTATGGGTTTTTATTGAGTTTCTGTTGGACGTTGGGGTGATTTTGAGCAGGTTCTTGTTTGGCATTGCACTTTACATCAAAACTATGTATAGTGTTTGATGCTCTAAGCATAATTTTTTTGTTTTTCTCTGACAATGAATAGATTCTTGAATGAATCTTGAATTTATTCCTCAAGATGCTGTACCTGATTAGGCCCAAGCCCCGACAGGGTGTAGGGCCTATTGCGTTCGCTCGGACGAAAGCATGGGCAACGATGAGTGCATGGGTGAATGCGAGAGGATGTTGTGCAGCTTCGTCCCCTCGGTCGCCCCCAGCATGAACAGCAGTATCCCAGTAACCCACGCCCAAGGCCTGGGCCATATTTATCACTGCTAAAACAAATGGAAGTCAATGGGAGGTCATGAGGAAGGTTGAGAGCTTGAAAAAAACGTATAATATGCTGTTCCAATGTTTACAGATATATTGTTTTTGCTAAAAATATTATTAGGCCGGAGCGCCAGAGGCTGGCATAGGGCCTATTAGTATCACTATGCGATGCTACTACTTACTTCTTAAAAAAACATTAAAAACAGAACTAGTTCATTTTAAATAAAGTTATTTTTCACTTTCCAAACACATTCCAGGCAGCATAATTATTCATCATGGTGAGTTTGTAAGAGTTTTTCACATTTGGGTTGAGACACAGTAATGCTAACAGTTACTTTCTAACAATGCACCCGGCTCACTTTCTGTTTTGCGAACAATAAAATGTTTTATGATTACATGCAGAAAACAAACAGGGGTCTTATTTTGACCCAACGAGCTGCATTTATAATATATCTGTATTCATAGTCATTTTTTATTTTATTATATGAAAGAAATTTGATTATTTTAATTGCTATTTCCCCTGTAGTTCACTGTCATGATAAAAGTGTCGGTTGTCGTCATATCCTGTCAAAAAACAGAGGTTACGTTGAGTTTGATTCTTGCAGGCTTTAGTAAGACTTAGACAGTCCCTCTACAGATCTCAAAATGCTCTTTTCTCTGGCTCTTTTCTCTTTGGTATGTGTTTTTTTAATTAACTTTTTATTTTTTTAAGCTGCACATACTAATAACAAGACATGCTGACTCAAAGACATAACAAGACAGAAGACATAACAGGAAATAGTTTGTAGACAGGATGGAGGGGAAAAAAAGAACAAAAAACAGAACAAAAAAAGCAACATAATAAAACAAAAAATAATGAACCATGCGTATATGTCATCCATTTAATCTGTATATGTCATCTTGAAGCTCCTTTGTGTTTTTAAAGTCTTTAACCTTTCACCAGGCTCATCAATACAGTTTTCAAATGGATGGAAATTGGAGTACACAATGAAACGACAGATTTGAATTTTCTTATATACATACATTATACTGATATACATTGTAATAAATTGTTAATTTACATGCAATATCAGTGCTTAAGTGTACAAAAGTAGTTTTAAACCTTGAAAATTATACTACACAGCAAAAACTGGAGGGTTAAAATTTTACTGTAAAATATTTCAGAGTTGTTTTTAACACCAAAAATGTTTTTTTTAACTATTTGAAAGTTAAATGGGGCTTTTAGTTGGAGTTATTTGTCAGAGTTGATGTGGTGGAGGTTAATTCAACTTCTCTTAGTGTTAATTTGGCTCCTCCCATTCACCACTTCAATCTCTTGTGGGAGAAGACCAGTTTGAACCAGTTTTGTGCATAATTTCTTCTTAATTTAACTAAAATAAAGTAAAAATAAAATAAAACACCTCTGTGTGTTGTTTAGCTAAATCAGAATAACTCTACAAAGTGTTATCTGTTTACTCTCAAAACATGAATATAACTCTAGATTTTGGGGTTAAACAGAAACTTTGGTCCATTGTTACTTAATTAACACTTCTAAAAATGTAAAATTAACTCTAGAACAGATTGGACTCATATAAACTCTGAGAAAATGTTAAAGTTGATTCTGTGAGAGTCAATTTTAACACTCCACTTTTTGCTGTGTATAATTCAGCCACAGTAACTTTTTTAATATTCCACAATATGCCCCAGTACCATGACTCGCAAAAGCAATGTGAGTGAAGGAAGTAATGGGGCAAGGAAATCCACCATGTTAAAATATGGCCTTCCCAGAACTGATGCTATGATGAGGATATTAATGTTAATAGATCTTTTACTGTTAGTGGCTGAGAGCTGGACCCAGTTTCTGTACAAGTGGAAACATGATGAATCTGTGGCTCTGGGTCCAAACTCATGAAAGCCTGGATCTGAGACGGCAGGATTAGTCTGAGGACAAGGTTAGAGTTGATATAATGATTTATGTCTTAAAGGAAATCAGAGCCAAACAGTCGCTGGCAAAAGGGCTCCACAGATATTTTGGCTCCATTAAAATGCTTTGAAATAAATTACTGCAGAATTCTTATCACAGCCCACCTTCCATTGTTTCAACCTCAGCTAAAAGAAAAGCACTGTCATAAAAATCAGCCTATTCATATACGTGCCTGGATTTTAAAGGTCCTACATTACGCCAAATTGATTCTTGTGATCTTTTGTAATGTTATATTGTTGTTGACTCATCAAAAACATACTTGGAGTTGCATTTTGTTTCATTTATTATTAGTCTGTCTACATCTCCAAAGCTCAAAATGTTGTCATGAAGCGGTAGTTTTCAAGTTAACAGCTCCTTTTACCTTTAAGTCAGTAGATAGTAATTCCAGGGCTGAAATCATCCAAATGATTGTATTGAAGGTGTATGGAGTTTAAAAAAACACACTTCCTGTATTACCATATGACATCACAAGGTGGAACAGTGTATTTTCTTTATGAGAGAAGAACTTTGGGAGAAAATTATTTAACATGATGAGTTCATAAGCACTTTTCACAACTTTCAAACCAGGCCAAAGTCGAGTTTTTCCATCATAATAAAACTAAAAACGACTCGCAAACAGCAGTAGGGGTGAAATGGTTTGGTACGTACCTCATTACACTATGCGAACAAAATGGAAAAATATCTGCTTGTTATTTATTTGTGTTTTTATTAAACCAACAATTAGTTTTAACATTATACAAATGAGAAAATAAAATAAATGCAAAGTGCTGCTTGGTAATACTAATAAGTTAAATTAAATATTCTCAAAGAAGCGACAAATGTATGAAATATTATAAAAAATAAATTCCTTGTAAACAGTAAAAACTAAAGCGCAGCACTAACAGTTCCAGCATGAAGTTTTACTAAATTTTCATATTTTTGGCCAGAAATAAGAATTTGTCCACATTGTCTGAAGTAAGTGCAGGGGAGAGGATTCACGTGGTTCAGAGGGATGTAGTCAAGGTGGGGGCAAATGTTGTCAAGGCTGCTGCCCTAACTATAAAGCACTGCGGGAAACACTGCCACCCCAATCATGGACGAGCTCCTTCTTGAATATTAAAGAGCCAAGACTTTCATGTAGCTGCACATGTACTGGCGAAATGTAAACACACACAAACTCACTTGTGCATAGCTTTGCACCAAACCGAATGTCCCGTACCGAAACGGTTCAGCACAAATACATGTACCTTTACACCCCTAAATAGCATACTTTCTGATTCTCAACAACAAAACACACAGTTGTCTTATTTTGAAATTAAGAGTTGCTTTTACTGTGTATCTGCAAATACGACGACTTTAACGTGTCTTTTTTTTTGTCATTTCAGCACCACATCCACCCGTGCCCAGTTTGCGCCCTGGTCTATCGTTCCTCCGAGCTTCGTCCACCCGCCCTTCCTCGTGGTCCCTCCCCTCCTCTTTCTCTATCGGGGCGATGGGTGAGCCAGCGCTGTGAGACCCGCCCCTCTGCCCTCTTCCTCACCCGTGACTTCACTTTTGAGCCTGATGCCCACCAATGGGGGGGCGTCTACCGGCACTTCTCCGACCCATTCTGCACACAACCCACTTTCACGCTAACTGCTTCCGGGCACTACGCACAAGGAAACCCGTCGGCCAAAATCTCCACAGCAACTGAGTTTGTCTTCAAGGTTACCCAGGTGAAAATTACGCCGTTTGACGTAGCAACGGCGAAGCTACTCAACTCTACAAGACCAGGGAAGTGTGGTTTGACTGGGAATTGGCAAGTTGGGATCGAGCAAGACATCACGACAACACACGGGTGCACTGCGTTGGGTATCAAACTGCCCCACAAGGAATACGAGCTCTTTAAAACTGAGCTGGACCACAGAAAACAAGCACTGCTGTTCATTGGGGAGAGACCTACAGATGGATCGAGCCCGGACCGACCACAGAAGAGGCCCACTTCCTTCCAGACGCCCCTGGTGCAGTGCAGCGGGGGTGGGGGAGCGGGGCAAGAGGAGAGACTACCCCGCAAGGAAAGATTGGGTTCCCATAGCAAGCAAATTCAGCTACAAATAAGCGGAGGAGAGCGGAGGAGAGGACATGCGATGCTGCTAGCTCTGGGTTTAGTACTGTACACCTGGGGATGTGTTTATTAGATCGGTAAAGTCCAGGTGTTGATGGACATTGTTTCCTGGCAGCTTTTTATCCCCCCTCATTTTCTCGCCAGCTGCTCTACCTTCTCTGTCCATGTGATGCTCGCCACATGTGTCTCCAAGTCTGAAAAATAGAAAGTATTGGTGCTAATTTGATGTTGACAAATGGTGTAGTTAAATTATCCATTTCATTTTTGCAATTTCCAAGGTTCCCACGGTCATGGAAATTCGGGAACGTCATGAAATTTTCAATGAAAGTTTTGGAAAAGTCATGGAATTTTAGTATCTCTTTCATGCAACTACATCGTTCTGTTAAATTATCATTAGGATATTATGATTATTTCCAAACGTATGTGCCTTTTATTCAAAAGAGATGACAATAAATGCACTGACAGTATTTTCAATGTTAATCCCAAACCATAAAGTGAGTGGAAAGGTTTAACATTTCATATTTAGCCCTAAAAGTATGATCATTTCTACACGTGTATTGTGCTGTAAAATCATTGAAAATTTACTTTAGGTCATGAAAAAGTCATGGAAAAGTTTTACAATTTTGAAAAGAGTGGGAATTTCACTGGTCAAAACTTGACAAATCTACATTCTCCTGACTGGTATTGCTATATATTGGGTCCTTTGAATTTTAAGGTTCAATCTGTATTCTAAGAAGTTTGGATTGGGTTGATTTACATATACCCTTGAAATTGCAAAAACTGTAATGCAATATAAATGTTTGTTTTACACACGAAATTCAAAATTAAGTCTGTAAAGATAAAATTGGAAAAAAATTTTTTTTTTTTTTAAATTGGGAATTTTGGAAAGTTGAATTTGAGAGATAGAGCAAAATTCAATTGGAAGTAAACAATTTTTGAAAATTTTTACAGTCACATTTTGACTAAAAAGTTCAAATAAAGTCTCTGGTCAACACAACTACCCTAATGATTGGACTAGCTCTCACAGACATGTAGTTTGTGTCTGTTTTTTCATTCCTTATCAGTTTTCTCCTTCCAAATCATCCAGTGACACAGTAAGTTATGTATTTTCCCACCAACCAAAGAGTTGCCAGTTCAAACCACACTCAAACCAATACCAACATGTCCTTGGGCAAGACGCTTCCCCCACATCTCCAATCCCAACACAAGTCTGGGGACATCTGCAGCTTTTTTCTCTTCTGAATCCGGGAACTACTTTTTCACGATTAAACACAACTCCACATGTTGACGGACACTGTTTTCCTGGCAGCTCTCCCCTCTCTCTCCACGTGATGCAGGCCGCAGTAGTAATACGCCCAGAGAAATTCATGAGACATTGAGGAGAGCGTACTGAACTTTATATTTTCACGGTCTGTTAACATCCCGACCGGCCTTCACGAGCTGCCCCACAAGACTTCACTTTAAATGACTACAAACTCCAGCTGTGGACTGCTTTATTGCTACCTAAGACTAATATGTATATAGACCACCAATATGGATTCATTATGTAAGATATGTTATTTTAAACCGTGTCATGTTTGTAAAAAATCCAAGGAAAGTTTCAATTTTGTTTTGACTTTTCAATAAAACTACATATGTGTTTTTTATAGCAATGCCACCTTCTACGATTTAATAAATTGTATTTTTAAAAAGATTTTTACGATGAGAAATTGTTCATAGTGGTAGAAAGAGGAAGTCTGGTATCACATAACTTTTTTTTTTTTTCTCGTCAGTGTTGATTAAAACTAGCTTGGCCGGTCGGACCAATTCCCAGTTTTTGTACAAGGGCCTAGAATTTCAACTATTTAAGTACCTTCAATTTCACGAACCAATCAAAACTGTGGAAGCGGGCTTTATGGAGTGATTAGCTTTACTGATTGGTTAAAAGTTTTTATATTATTATTCAGGGTATTCACCTTAATCCAGAAGTTGCCATAAGTGCCACCATCTGTATATTGGGTAACTTTTCTGGTGGAGGGTGGGAGTACCTGCTTTTCTGCATGAACACCAAACCAGACCAAGTTACAGGTCAGATCTATGGAGAGGCAACCCCACTCACAGTCAGAATTTGAGCAATAAAACCACCTGTAATTGAATAAATGTGAGGTAAATCTGTTTGTCATATTGTGGAACATTCCAAGCAGAGCAATGACATCTCCATAGAAACAAGAAGGTGATGGACCCCCAAACGAAAAGTTACTGACAGTGCTGACTTGTTTTAGCACCAAAACTTTTCTCAAATTGTCCATTTAAATTAACAAAATAGTGCCACTGCAACAAAAGTGTGGCAAAAATGGGTGGGGCAGAATATGTATGAGGAATTGTTTTTTTGGTGTGGTATCTAGGGTTCTCATATTGCCAGCTCAATCCTTGTTATTTTGGCCTGCTTTATCAAAGGTATAATACTCCCTACAGTGGAAGCATTAGCCTCCTGGACAATACTGAACTGGAATAGACACTGATTCTGTACTGAAAACAACTAGCAAACGTACAGTGCACTTCTTGTTTCTTTCACAGTAAAATGTTTTAGAATTAGATAGAGCTGGAGATGCAAGGACAAATAATTAAACTGATTTTCTCCAGAATCAAAACTCCAGTATCATACCTCTTTTTCCAGCTCTCTGGTTACTACAGTTTATTCTAAAACAGAATAATTATTGGAACTTACATATGTCTTAAAGGTGCACTATGTAACTTTTTGACTGGGTTACAGGTGGTTTTATTGCTCAAAAATACCTACAAACACAGGCATTCTGACTGTGAGCGGGGTTGCCTCTCCACAGATCTGACATGTAACTTGGTCTGGTTTGATCTCCATAAAGATAGAAAGATTTAATGCCATACTGTAAAATATTCCAGACAAAGCAATAACATTTCCACGGAGAAAAATATTTGACGGATCCTCCACCAGAAAAGTTACATAATGCACCTTTATGTATGACTTAAGCATGTATGCATTTCCAATTATACACAGGAGTACCCCCAGTACTCCAACCAAAGTCTAATGCTACCAAAAATTTACAAAACAAATCTTCGTATTAAAACATTTTTATTTATCTTAGTTTTTATTTCATTTTATTTTTTTCATCAACAGGTTTACCATTTCAACAACAAAAAAATTTCTGTTGTCCACTTTCGGGTTCCGTACCGAATTCACTATAGGCACTATGTATATATTTTTTCACTTTGATCAACATCTGTAAATGTTTTTTTCATGTTAAAGGTGCATTGTGTAACTTTTCTGGTGGAGGATCTGTCAAACGCTTTTCTCCAAGGAGATGTTATTGCTTTCTCTGGAATGTTTCACAGTATGGCATTAACCTTTCTTGCATCATGGAAACCAAACAAGACCAAGTTATAGGTCAGATCTGTGGAGAGGCGATCCTGCTCACAGTCAGAATGCAAAACCGCCTGTAATTTAATAAATGTAAGGTTTATTGTCATACTGTGGAACATTTCAGGCATTGCAATGACATATCCATAGAAATAAGCAGGTGACGGACCCCCAGCGAAAAAGTTACACAGTGCACCTTTAAAGCTATTACCTGTAAACAAACCAATTATTTATTTTAACCATTTTAAACTGTACTTTTTGAATGAGAGCTTCCTGATCTTATGTTTTCCTCAGTCGTACTTTGGAGCAGGGATCTAGTATGTGTAATAAAAGTACTTTTCATAACATTTGTGTTGTTGTAGTGGTTGTGAAAGGCCAGACTGGAGACAGGATTTTCTCCGGTCTCTTGGGTTCAAACACTGTGGTTAGATCCAGGGTCCAGATACCGGGATGGGTTTTGATAAATAGCCCTCACATGGCTTGTGCATTACTTAAGAGCTTCCTGGAGCAGAAATGAACAAGGATATGAAGTGTTGGCTGCACTGTTCAGAACACAATACATCTCGTAGTTAAAATAAAAGAGTATTTGGATGCGGCTGTTCAGACAGTGGTTTATGTTTGTGAGTTTCCTAAATTAAAGAAGACAAATATATGAGAATGTCTTGAGTTTTTTCTTACTTAAAGAGTATCTAAAGTAGTATTTTGTTTCATTCAGGCATGTCTGTACAATTTCACTGGACTTATTTTGACAATATCAGGGCAACTTCGGAGAGAGGGCTTAAGATCAGCAATGTGGAAATCATTTAAAGGTGCATTATGTAACTTTTTTTGAGGTCTTGCACCACACAGCTCCATACTCACCCACTCTTAATAAAGAAAAGATATGTTGTGTAGTTTCCTCATCACTAACAGACCTGGAGTTGTGTTTTGTTTCATTCACACTTTTGATACACAAACTCTGCATATTTAAGATGAGTTCTTCTCTCAAATGGAAAACACTTTGTGATGTTATGTGGTAATACAGGAAATGCTCCACTATGTTTTTAAACTCCATACACCTTCACTAGAATCATCTGGATGATTTCAGCCCTGGAATTGCCAATCTCTACTAAACAAAAGGTAAAAAGTATGTTTTTGATGGGAGAACAACATTATAACATGACTAAAAGCTCAAGTCAGTTTTGTTTAGTATAAGACCTTTAAGACAAAAACAAATTCAATACATACTGCACACAATAATTTTCCATATTTATTACATATTATTAATTATTAAGTTTGCGTAAGTTTCCTAAATTTTAGGTGCATCATTGTCTACCATAACATTAGATTTAGGAAAGGTGGTTGTTAGGGTGAAATCTAATTTTGGTACTAAAATCTAACATTAATCTAAATCTGTATTAAACAGTGCTAATATGGTAATGTTTTCTAACAAGGATTTGGTGTTACTCACATGTGGTTGAATGGTGGTCGCTAAAACCCTGTTTTTTCAAAGTTTGTGATGTTTGGAAACTAATGGTAAGTCTCCTATTGAAAATTCAGGAGCGTTCTTATGTTCACTCAGCCTTATATTCCCTCATTTCTAAGTTTTTTTGTTTTTGTTTTTTTTTCCCCCAAAATTAGACCCTATGTTCCCACATTTACTGTATCATAAATTTGCATCAGATTTAATTCCCATTTCTCCCAATTTGATCATTAATTACACCCAACCTATTAACCAACAACAGTTGATTACAGATGTAATGTAGACGTAATGGTGCATGGTTGACATTACTCTGATCATTATTCTCATCCCTTTAAATGTGTTTTAAAAATAAAAAATGACTTAACTTATAGTTTCATTTTGAGGACTAAGAAAAATCTTAGAAACGAAGGGAACATAGGGCTGACCCTGAAAGTACGACCAGCTTTTGCAATACAGGTGCTCTGTTTACAAACACTGGAAAGGCCCATAGTCAAGGCCGTGATTGGATAATACCGTTAAGTGGATTATTGTTAAGCGATTTACGCTGGCTATAAGACTGAATAGGAGCTCTCGGGGGCTCTTAAGTAGGCTGATTGGATGTTTTATAAGATTAGGACAACACTACATTAGAACAGCTACAATGCCTTTATTGTCATTACATAAGGTCATACGCAACAAAGTCTGCAGCTCAAACATGAAGGTCAGTACAACAGAAAAATATGCAACTACTAATCAAAGGCTCATACAACACTATTTTCTGAATCCGTTATAATTTTTCCTCATTGTAAACAGACCT